GGTCAGTTTTATCCTAGGTAAAGCCCCCAGAATCCATTTTTTATCGTGAACTGTATGAGCTGTACCTTCATAAGCCTGGATGTTAGTAAATTGTTGTGTTGAACTGTATGAGCTGTACCTTCATAAGCCTGGATGTTAGTAAATTGTTGTGTATCTAAAAAACATTAATTGTAGTTTAAAGAACGATAGGTTGATATAATTGGGTATTTCTGAATCTGAAGAGTGCTATTAACTTATAGTCTGCAAATGGATCATTGGGGGAGGAGGTCGCTCACAGGTTTACACCCGCACCTGGGTTCGAGTTCTATTTCGAGTTCATTTCACTGGGCGGTCTACTCATTCCCGAACAAAAAGTGAAAATCTGAAATTCAAGTGCTAAAATTATAAAATATAAAAAGATAAGTTTAATATAAAATCTAAATATAAAAGATTGAAAACAAAATTTTCACAATGATGCACAACAAAGTAGAACTAATAGTGACAATAGTAATCAATGAAAAGTAATGATTTGACTTATAATTATTAAATACCAATATGGTAAAATTTGCAACTGTTTCGATCCCCACTTGTGCTTTGGCGAGCCCCTAATTATTAGATGGGCATTCCCGAAAAGTTACCCGTACTGATCGAAGTTCATACTAATTAATGTGATTTGAGACGTCCGAATTCCAGCCGTACCTCAGCCCGTATTCCTTTTTTTTTATGGGCACATCATTAACAAGAGGATTCGGAGGGAGTCAACGAAAGGCTTTCGTAATTTACATTCGGTTATCTTCTATTCCCAATCACCACTCTGTGTCTGCAATCCTCAGTTCTGTTCCCCTATGATGTTCCCTAGGGTCATACTTTTTACTTGTAGTTCATTTCTCCATCCATCCTGGCTATCAGTCCCACTTAAACGCTGACCACGTCACAAAGCTAGCATCATTTCGAATCAACAGATGCCTGATTGCATCGGGGAGCCGTGGCTCTCCTTCTTCCCTTGCCGTTTTCTTATATTCCTGTTTTTTCCCTTTTTTAATATAATATCTCCTATACCATAATACCATAATATGATTGGTCATTGAGTTAAGGGACCGAGTGGGCCCTGTCTAACTTTTCGTTTCTGTGAGCTCGGCAATCCCTCACTGTTTTCTTTATTTTCGTTTTTCCCTGATTCAGGGAGTCAGTCATTCATCTGAAAGGATAAAACGGTGTCCCACTTCTAAAGTCCCCCTTCGCTTACCCTTTCCCAAGGCCCTTCAACGCACTCTAGACCTTTCTCCCATTCCCCGATCCCACCGAATTGCGGTGCAGGTCGATTCCCACGACTTTTCGGAGTTCCATTGCATGGTCCATTTTTGAATGAATTTGATCAGCGCCAAGTTCTCTTGAGAGTGCAATATTAACTGGGCGAAGAACTGCTCCGATTACTGTTTAATGAGTCCTCTGAGCAAGTTTTTTTCACATGTGGTCAGGTGATCAGACCTCGCTAGGTATATCTAGGTCTAGTAATTCGGCTGATTCCTCATCAGGAGAATTCAGGACTCCAGGAAACATACGTGCAGGTGGCACGTAGTGGCAAAAATGCAGAACCTGATAATCATTGGACGATATTTTTGTAAAATCTAAAATGTTCACCCATTACACATCTTTTCATGAAGCGTCAGATGGCACCGTGAAATAGGAAGTAAAAGTTTGTGATCCGATTTCATTTTGAATCACAATAAAGAACTCATCGCTCATCTTCTGCCTCTAATTCCTCCCCCTCCCTTTTAATTTCTTTCAGTAGAACGGACTGATACTTCTTTTTTGAAAGTGCCGTCAGAATTCAATTAGCAACGTATGTGAATAGAAAATATTACAAAGGAAACTGCTGTTGATTAAATCAGAAGAATTAGAAAGGACTTTTTCTACCAGAAGGACGTCTACTTGAGGAAGTTAATGCTGTGATGGCCTCAGAAGGCTGGCGCCAAAGAACTAGACTACATCTTTGTCTACAGCTTCAGCTACGTTCATTCGCCTTTTCCTGAACCATTTCTACTAGTAACTTTTCGTGGTGTTGAAAGCTAGCTCAGGAGATTAGTATTTGGACGTAATTATCTCATCGGACCCCTGGAAACCACCGAAAAAGCCGAGTAGCCTGTTACTCTTGAACGAAGGCAGCCAGTAGCTCTGAACACCAGCATAGATTTATTTGATTATTATAAGTAGAAATCGTCATTTTCTAAATTTTAATTTCTTTTATTATTTTCTCGGACCGTGAAAATAGAAAGGCTCAAAGTCCCAACAGTTCTCGCCCAGTAACTTTCAAATCCCAGATTTTTTGCAGATGACCTGGGACTCCCTGTTCGTTTGGACTTTTCTGCATCTGAACTCATTTTACTTTTAATTTATAGTATTACTGTTCCTATACTATGCTTGCTTGCCTTGCTTGTTGTTGATCGTGTCGGCAAAGTAAATACGTGGAATGTTTTTTGTGCAATACAACTAAAAGCGGGGGCGGCTTAGTAGCATGTGGCGCCCACTATCACGCTTGCAGTTAGAAGATCGAATCCAGGATACTTATAAACCCAGTCCTCGAGCCAAATGAGGCTTCCATTCGTCCGCGGTCTATTGGTAAGTGCCAGGCTCGTCTGGGATCAAAACTTGCACACTGGCTGGCCGCAGTAGCTCATAGTAAGGCCACAACCACCTTTCCACCGACACTACGATTATGAATGAAAATTGAATGCAGGGGCGCATCCCATAGATGAGTTTGGTGATTTGGTCAGTAAACTTGATTCTTTATCATATAAAACAAATGGACTGCTTTCTAACAAGTTTGGCTGTTATGTCAACCTACTCGAGATATCCCATTCTATCGATGATCTCGAGTATGCTGACGCAATAACTTGTTTCGGACTGCGAAGGTTTTTCTAACTACTATTCCAAACAATACCTCAAACTTTCTCCCTTTCAAGATCCCAATTCAGTGGGACGGCTGCAAATTTGGAAAAAAATCGTGACGAGTCTTGGTTTCTCTTCATTTAGTCTTCCTTAACCTGTATGTTGTGGTCAAACCGGTTTGAGAGCGGTCCTTAAGCAGGACGCCTGTACTTCCTTTGTCTGTAAGAAGACAGCAAACGGAAATAACAAAGGAATTCAATTGAAAGCGAAATTCTGGCAGCGGCATTCCAACTAAAACACAATATCAGCTAGCTCTAAGCTTCATTTAGACATCGCCAAACTCCGAAAAAAATACATTGACGACTGAAGATTTTCTACTAGTTTTTCTGCAGTTTTCACATAATAGTCGCTATCAAGTAACCAGTACGAATTGCTTCGAATGTTTGAGCAGTCGTTGGAACACAGTAGTAGAATCTGTCTAATATATGGCCCCAACAAGTCAAACGGAACACGATCTGAGCGGCCACTTCTCTGTTTCGTGAAATCACGTGACTCACGGTCTCTAATAATAAAAAAATAATAATAAATAAAATTTTTGCAAATTCCACCCGCTTTTTATTGATTTTAACTTGAAATCTCGAATGTCCTCCTGCAGTAAACTCAACAGAGTAAAATCCATGTACTTACCCTAGCGTTTTTTTTTCAAGTTCCTGTTTAAAGTATAGAGTATATGGGGCTACCTTAAGACGACTTTTACTCCGGAAAACTTTCAAAATGTACTCAGTACTGGGGTTAGCAGCTTGCTGTCTACGGTTGATGCATGGTATTTAGAAGTCGCCGCGGAGGCAATTTATTTATATAAACACCTGTCCCAATTTTATCGTTGCTTCATTGCAATCCATACATTAGTCGACGGCCTCCTATTGATATCAGCCTCTTTGATTTTACTTCTAACTTCTGAAATTGTAACGGATCCTTTGAGTCATTTTCTAGGAGTAACCTCAGTACTACTATCTCTATTATATTCTCTTCAAAGACCAAAGATCCCTTAAAGTGCGGGGAGCGTCAGT